AAGTGTTTACATACACATTGTTTTAACCCTTTGAAGATGGTGTTTTTGACCCTTTGAGGATGGTGGTGGTTTAACTATTATGAGAACGATGGTTTAACCCCTTTTGAGGACGATGGTTTAACCCTCCCACTTAATTGAGACTTATGAGAATGTGTGTGTGTGTGTGTGTGTGTGTGTGTGTGTGTGTGTGTGTGTGTGTGTGTGTGTGTGTGTTTCATGGCTGTGTTACTTTCTCTCTGACGTAGTAGTAGGCGCTGTAGTATCAATAATAACATCTGCCGGCGCTGAAGGAGGAACATTTAGCCGAGTGGTGTAGCGAGGAGCATCTCGTACCAGTCGTCACTCAGCCTGGCTCATTGCCAACCATCACGGGGTCCATGCCATCGATTCCTCCTCCTCCCACCCCCATTCTCCCCCTCCATCCTCCCTCTTCGTGTCCCCCCTTCCTTCCCCCTTCCTCTTCCTTCCTCCTCCCTTTCTCTTCAACCCTCCCTTTCTTTCTCCCTTCCTCCTCCCTCACTTCCTTCTTCATCTCTCCCCTTTCTTCCCAGTCATTATCCCTCTCTCCTCCCCTCTTCCCTCCCCTTAGGTTCCCTTTCCTTCCAGGTACCATTCTCCTCCTCTCCCTTTCCAGGCATTACAATCCTCCTCAATTATGGCACACACCCTTCCCCTTTTTTTTCCCAGGCACACCCCTCCTCCATGACACACACACACACCCTTCCCTCTTCCTTCCCAGGCACTAACCCCACCTCTTCTCCAGACATTCCCCGCCCCATATTCCCAGACGTTCCTCTCTCTCCTCATCCCTGGCCCAGCAAGCGGCAATCGTACGCGAATAGTGGCTCTATGTGGCACTGTTTACAGGCGAGGGTGCCAGTGGAGGTGATGCAGGGCGGCGGTGGCAGACGAGGCGGGAGTTTATGCACCTCTGTCTGCCGCTACGCCTGCTGCTGGAGGTACCTTACACATGCCTTTTTATCTCCTGCATCTACATCGCCTCCCTCAGACAACCCAGGGTTCAAGTAGAGCGTTTATGTGTTACTGTTTATACGTGTACCAAGGAGTGCAGGTGCCACGGAGGGTTATACTGTGTGTATGTGTGTGTGTGTGTGTGTGTGTGTGTGGAGTCAGGTAGGTAGGTTAGGTAGGGGAGGAGAATAAGAAGGAATGAAAGATGTAGAGAGAGAGAGAGAGAGTAACAGTCTTATGATGCCTCACTGCTGGGCACCTCAGGATATATCACCTGTGCCAGTGCCAAGTTTACTCTCTCCCCCCTGAGAGAATGTTCAGGTCACGTTAGGTTTGGTTAGGTTACATTATGTTAGGTTAGGTTAAGGTTTGGTTAGGTTAGATTATGTTAGGTTAGGTTAAAGTTTGGTTAGGTTTAATTTTATTTGGTTAGGATATAGGTTAAGATAGAGAGAGAGAGAGAGAGATGGTATTGATGTTTATGTTAACATCATAATTTTAATATTCGTTTTTACTACAGGTGTCAATCGAAAAAAAAAATATTGTTTACAGGCGGTTGTTATTGTTTACACGAGTTTGTTATTGCTTACACGTGTTATTGTTTACAGGTGATTGTTTACTGTTTACAGGTGTTCAGTGTATCAACCTCATTCATTCTTGTTTACAGGTGAGGTCCGCCAGTGCAGGTGATGGAGGTAGACAAGGTGTGTATTTATTGCAGTTTATCTCTTTCTTTCTTTCTTTCCTTCTTTCTTTCTTTCTTTCTTTCTTTCTTACTTTATCACGGTCTCTTTTTTCATCCTTTCTCTTTATTTTTCTTTGTATGTATGTATCTATGTCTGTATCTTTCTATCTATCTATCCATTTTTCACACACACACACACACACACACACACACACACACACACACACACACACACACACACACACACACAGGTGCCCCCATTTATCACAGGTAAACTACAGTACATGAGGTTCAGGTAGAGATCTTAAAGGGCCTGAGAGGGAAGGGTTTTAGTGTGTGTGTGTGTGTGTGCGTAAAGCAATATTAGGTATTTTTTGTATTAATTTTGTTGACTCTCTAAAATGGCGGGGAGGGGAGGTTTCAAGCAGTTAGTTACCATGGCAAACTACCTAACGACGTGAATGATGTATGTATAATTATGGTTAAAAGTACAAGTGGGGGGAGGAGTCGTGTTAGGGGCGGTGTGGATATAGTACACTGCGGCCCCACGGTACACAAGGAGGCGGCAATATGTCCGACACTGCACATGACCGTCCCTCCTTCCCCCAACTGTAAATAAAGACACCGCTACACTACTTTGGGGGGAGGGGGTTATTCCGGACACGAACCAGCTATCACGAGGGGAGGGGATGAGCTTTTTATCCACTCGGCCACCGCATCGATTTCTATCGTGTGGATTACGTTAAAGTGAGGTTAGGTTTGGTTTGGTCAGGTTTGGTTAGGTTTGGTTTGTCAATTGAGGCAGAGGAATAGAGAGAATGAGGAAATAAAGGTGAAAAACAGGAAGAGAGAGAGAGAGAGAGGACGGACGAGGCGCTGCATAAGTACACGACTTGTGAACATCTATTGATTACTAGCCCGAAGACACACACCCCCCCCCACCACGCCCCCCTTCCACCTACCCTCTCACACCACGCCCCCACCCGCTACCACGCCCCCACCCGCTACCACGCCCCTCCTACCTACCACGCCCCCCACCCTACCTCACTCCCCTACCACTCCTGACTCCTCCTGTCATGCCTTATTACCCCTTGCCACGCCCCATCCCTCCTCACCACGCCCCCACCTCTCGCCACGCCCTCCCTCCTGTTACGTGTCCCACCCCCTCTGGCAACATTCCTAAGGCTCACCTCCTCCACTGACCACGCCCCACATCTCCTCTAGCCACGCCCACACTCTCCCCTAGGCCACGCCCCCACGTATCTCCTCTGGCCACGCCCACATTCTCCCTTAGCCACGCTCCCACGTATCTCCTCTGGCCACGCCCACACTCTTCCCTAGCCACGCCCCCACATATCCCTGAACCGCCAGCACTTACCTCCACCTAGTGGGATTTTGTTTACAGCCACTAAACACCTTTGTCTGGGTCATGAAACGGGCGAAGGGAGGGGAGGTGGTTGAAATCTTTATTATCACACACTGGTTAATGAGTTTCTCACCACGATACACCCCACCTGTACATGTCCTCACCTGTATGTAGTCGATGAACCACTGAAACCAATCTTAGGGGCTCATCCAATATCCCTGACTCAGACAAACAAACACCTAGCGACGTCCTATCTCTCTTGAGGGGCCCATAAGGTGATAAATGATGAGAATTGGCAGTTTTATTTATCAATTAGTCTGGTTTAGCGAGTGTTATAGTACTCGTTATTACCCTAGCAACGGGTCCACTTGTCTGAGCTGTCATGGTTGCTAGGGTCTGACGTGATGTGGGTGGATATCGTCTCTTGGTCTATTTAAGTAAATTTTGTTGGTTGGGGGGTCGAGGGAATCTGGTTTACCCTGACTGCACGTTGTCTGCTGAATAAAGCGCTACTTGCTAACTATATATAGCACATCCTGCTAACCGTATACAGTATAACATCACTTGCTAACTATATATAGCACCACCTGCTAACTTATATATAGAACTTCCCGCCTAACTATATACCGCGCCACCCACTAACTAATTCCGTGTCTGAGTTAGGGTCAGGCTAGGCTGGCCGCTTGCTGAAAGATGAACAGTAGTGATCCATCAGCTGAGATACTGTACACGGTGACAGGTAGAAAGTGGTAGTAACGGCTGTCAGCAGCTCAGGTGTATATACAAGCACTCAGGTGTGTGTGTGTGTGTGTCAGGCAGTCAATACCATGATTACTACCTGACTGGTCGCTGTGTGGGGCCCCCTCTTGCTGTGTGGGGCCTTCTATTGCTGTGTGGGGCCCTCCCTTGCTATGTAAGGCCCTCTCTTGCTGCGTGGGGCCCTCTCTTGCTGTGTGGGGCCCTCTATTGCTGTGTGGGGCCCTCCCTTGCTATGTAAGGCCCTCTCTTGCTGCGTGGGGCCCTCTCTTGCTGTGTGGGGCCCTCTCTTGCTGTGTGGGGCTCTCTCTTGCTGTGTGGGACCCTCTCTTGCTGTGTGGGACCCTCTCTTGATGTGTGGGTATTCTCTGTGGGTGTAGGACCTCCCCAATTGCTGTTTTATAGGATATCTGAAGTCCTTTGTAGGAGGTAATAGGTTTAGGTTCGATGTGATGATGTGTAGGGAGGAGAGGAGAGGGTGTTGGAGGAGGAGGAGAGGAGAGGAGAGGGTGTTGGAGGAGGAGGAGAGGAGAGGAGAGGGTGTTGGAGTAAGGGAGGAAGGAGAAGAGGAAGAGGAGGAGGTAGTGATGGGCTGGGTGTGAGATCTTTGAGTTGTAATGAAAGTGTGTGTGTGTGTGGCCCAGGGTAAGCCAGTGTGGCCCAGGGTAAGCCAGTGTGGCCCTCTTAGGATGCATGTAAATAATTGCCTCACCCAACAGCTTAGTGTCCGCTCCCATTGTTGTTTATTCTTGACCTCCCAGATTAAGCTTAGGATTCTCAGCTTAACACACACACCTGTATAGACACGTAAAACATTATCGTGGTAACTATAAACGCCTAAACTGGTCCATTAGTGGGATTGGAACACGCTGGTCCAGTTTATTCCCGTTTGAGAAACAAATGAAGATCGTCTCGACCACTTTGTTTATGTCGTGTTACGTGTTGCTGATGAAAGTTATTATTATTATTATTATTACTATTATTATTTTTGTTGTTGTTAACCTTGTTGTTTTATTATTATTATTATTATTATTATTATTACTAAAAATATCACAAGTGTAAAAAAAAAAAATAATTTAAGCATTTTTTTACTTAATTAAACTATCCATTCAGGTACTAAATATCCTTAAGAAAACACATGGTTAAAAGTTATATATTAAAATGAGTCTAAAAAGCCCCGCCCCGCCCTGTCCCGCCCCGCCCCGCCGCGTAGTGCCCCGTTAGTGAGCTGTTGTGAATATTTCAACAGCATTGATCCCCGGCAGAGCGAGGCAGCCCGCCGCCTCCCCCTACACCAGTAATACTAAATCCCTGTCATAACACAACGCCAGACCCGGCAATCACATCCGCCTGGCGATCTCCACCAACAATAACACTAAATATCTTGTCATAAGACCCCGCCATCACTAGCGATCATCAACGCCTGGGCCCATCTTTCTTCTTTGTCGATATCAAGCGTATGGAAACTGCGCCTGACGAACCTTCACTCACACTCAACTTAAACTGCGCCTGACGGAAGTTTTAAAGCTTTTGCCGTGATGATGATGATGTGGTGGTGGTGGAGTTGTGTTGGAGATGTTATGGTGGTGGAGATATTGTAGTGGTGGTAGAGCTGTTATGGTGATGGAGATGATGTGGTGGTGGTGTTGGAGATGTTATGGTGGAGATATTGTTGTGTTGAAGATGTTATGGCGTCGTCGGCAAGTGGTCAGTTAGATACATAGGCTGTATTGATTGGCTGCCTCACCTGCGCCAAATATTTCACCTTGAACCCGCCTCATGCGCCAAATATTTCCCCTATAAGCTATTACATTCTCAGGTAATTAAAGATTAATTACAGGTAATATGGAAGGTTTATTGAAGGTACGGAGGTACGTGAGGTAAAAGTGGAGGTAGGGAGGTGCGTGAGGTAAAAAAGTTAAGGTAGGGAGGTGCGTGAGATAAAAGGTAAGGTAGAGAGGTGCGTGAGGTAAAAGTGGAGGTAGGGAGGTGCGTGAGGTAAAAAGGTAAGGGAGGTGCGTGGTAAAGTGGAGGTAGGGGTGCGTGAGGTAAAAGTGGAGGTAGGGAGGTGCGTGAAATTATAAAAGGTAGGGTAAGAGGTGCGTGAGGTAAAGTGGAGGTAGGGAGGTGCGTGAAATTATAAAAAGGTAAGGTAGAGAGGTGCGTGAGGTAAAGTGGAGGTAGGGAGGTGCGTGGAGTATAAAGGTAGGGTAGAGAGGTGCGTGAGGTAGAAATTGGAGACAGGGAGGTGCGTGAGGTAAAAATGGAGATAGGGAGGTGCGTGAGGTATAAAAGGTAAGGTAGAGAGGTGCGTGAGGTAAAAGTGGAGGGAGGGAGGTGCGTGAGGTAAAAATGGAGATAGGGAGGTGCGTGAGGTATAAAAGGTAAGGTAGAGAGGTGCGTGAGGTAAAAGTGGAGGTAGGGAGGTGCGTGAGGTAAATATAGGGGTTTTATCAATGTGTCGCGTCTTGGGTTGGGTATTACTGAGAACTGACGGAGTAAGGTGGCTGGTTGAGGGATCTGTCTATTTATCTATCTATCTGTCTATCTATCAATCTTTCTATCTATCTATCTATCTATCTCTATCTATCATCTAAGAGAGAGAGATGGACTCAGGTTAGGTATGGAAGAGTGGAAACAGGAGGGGATAGAAGATGATAAAAAAGAAATAGGGAAAGAATATACGGAGGGAGGAAGAGACAAAAGGCGATGATGGGGTGAAGAAAGAGAGAGAGAGAAAGGAAAGAGAGGGGGGTAGGGAGGAGATAAATATATAGATAGACAAAAGGATAGATAGACAAACAGATGTGGGCATTATTATTATTATTATTATTATTATTATTATTATTATTATTATTATTATTATTATTGTTGTTGTTGTTGTTGTTGTTGTTGTT